GCTGCATGTGTACATTTACAGGTCTCTCTCTGCTCATTGTTCCCTGTTGTAGCCATTTTGATTTTCGATGAGCTTCTCATTTCCCTGCAAACCATTATTTAATGAAAAACAAAATGGCTCAACCGCATGAAGATTCCTCCATCACCAACATATCTGTTTTCATGGCACGCACAATCTCAAGAGTACGCCCGAAATACGGCCCTCGCAGCAAAACCATTATTGACAAACTGGGTTGGACATATTAGGCAGTGATCTGAGCAGCGAGCAGAGCTCATATTCATCCGTTTATCACTGCGGTCTCGCTTCACGACTGAAACCGTGTCACCCCGACACATGCTCTCACACACCCTAAATGTATGTTGACAGTGATTATGCAAAAACCACATCCTCTTTCCGGAGATACCTGCTCTGGGAGCCATTCCCCTTTACTGGGGCTGAAAAATGGATTGCGTGAGGAGCGTCCAATGAGAGGCTTCTGATAATCTGAAGGAATTTTAAATTTTGCTTATTTTCACTCCTTATTAAAGCACATGTCACAAATAGGAGAGATCAGATGGTAAATACAGACTTTGATGTGTGTGTGTGTGTGTGTGTGTGAGAGAGAGAGTGTGAGTGTGTGTTTTCCTTTCAGAGTGTTTTTCATCTTTTAAAAGGATCTACAGAAACTTCTGGTAAACAGTTTGAGATATAGATTGATTAATTTTCTAATCATGCTTTAGATTTATAGTTTATTAATGTGGTTTTGAAACATGTGTTTTTTTTCCAGCTTTTATTTATTTTTTTATAAATCAATTGTGCATTAAATTATATTAAATTATGCTCAGCTGTGTTCCAGTTGCCCAACTTTAAAGTGTATTCAGCAATTTTTATATTAAAACAACAACAACAACAATAATAATAATAATAATAATAATTATTATTATTGTTATTATTATTATTACTATTATTAAACCTCTAATAATTTATTCTCAACAGAATTATCAGACATAGTCATATGGGCTATGGTACTTTTATGTTTGTTTGTTTTTTATTTTAGGTGCTTGACTTATTAAAATGTCATGTACAATGGTTTTGTTTTCAGTGTTGTATTATTTTTAGTTTTTTTTATATATATTTTTAAACATTTATTAATATGTAATAATAATAATAATAATTATTATTATTATTATTATTGAGCCTCTAATAATTTCTTTTCAATGTAAGTATGAGACATACTCATATGGACAATTTTTTAAATTTGTTTATTTATTTGTAGTTATATTTAATGAGTTAATTTTAGGTGCTTGATGTTTTAAAATGTCATGTACATTCGTTTTGGTTTCAGTGTTTTATTATTTTTAGTAATACAATTTTTATAAACATTTATTAACATGTAAAAACTATAATAATAATAATAATTATTATTATTATTATTATTATTGAGCCTCTAATAATTCATTTTCAATGTACCAGACATACTCTTACGGACTATACATTTATGGTACTTTTATTTATTTATTTATTTATTTATTTGTTTGTTTTCCTTTTGGATCTTGACATTGTTGTAGCACATATACTTTTATGTCTCCTCTTGTGTTGTACAGAAGAAGAAAAAAACAGTCACATGGTGTGGAACAACATTTAGGTGAATAAACAATGACAGAATTGTAATTTTGGGTGCACTGTTCCTTTAAATGTTTCTATGTGCAGGTACAATGACTGTTAGGCTGTGGGTTTGAACCTCTTTAGCTCATATATACATTTTCTCTCACGCACCATAGGGAGTAGTCACCATTCTTGAGATGAGATAAGTGCTCTCACTTTCTGGACACATTTTCCCCTTTCTCATTCCACACACACACACACACACACACACACACACACACACACCAGAGGTGCTATGATGGCAGGTTGTCAGTGCGACAGACGACCGGCTTTATAAACATCTCAGTCATGCTGGCTGTTCTATCTCTGGCCAGACTCAGCACACATTTGAAACGGAGAGGGATTGCACTCATCTCTCGAGGGGCTGTGTGAAAAATTGTGTCCGGTTTAAAAATGACGGATCTTTTTGATGTATTCACCCCTGTCATAGCGTTCCATTCGGCGGCCAGTTCAGGGCGTCCTTTGAAGAATAGGGACGGTGAAAAAGATTTGGCTTGGATGTCATGCTCAATAATAGCTGATAACGGCAACAAAAAGAGAAGAATTGTGGGGCCAGTCATCGATAGGGGTCCAGTGTTTACATACAGAATCCAAACTGCATTGAAAACGAAACAATTGCGTTATTCCAAAATTGCACTGATGCAATAGATATGTTTTGATGCATCTGTTAGGCAGCTTTTCCAACCCTAACAGCTGCATATACAGCAGACATAAGCATCCGGACGTGGGCTAGGTAGCTGTGTGTGCGCTGACAGGCCGGGAGCAGTGAGGTAAAAGCCTGGAGCCTGTTCCTGCTCGGCTGCTGCTGGTGTGATTAGATTGGGGCAGAAGCCTCCAGCTGGCAGGCCTGTCTGGGACCCCGGGCCGCTCGTCCCTGACACTCGTCACCATTGTGACACCTCTGACAGGCAGTGGACAGCCCAGCCAGACAGGTTCATTAAGCCCCATTTTTTACAGCTGGGCCTCCGTCCTTCTCTCTCTCTTTCTCTCTCCGTTTCTCCGCGATGAGAACAAAAGATGGGGGAGAATAACGACTGCACTTTGTCAAAGACCTCTGTAGGGGCACTGGCTTGTTGATGTTTGATGTGCCAGCTCTGTTATGACAATTTTTTTTCTGATGTGACCTATTTTGAGACGCTTTTTCTCCAGCAGTATCTTTTGTTGCTGGCTAACCCTTTGGCCTGCGCTTTGTCACAGGAAGAGACAGGCGAGGGCATGTGTAGATGCATATAAATTTGAATATATGTCCACTGAAACAAAAAGAGGTATTTTGTTTAGAGGTCTTGTATTATTTTGTTTGGTTTCTGTTTTTACTTTTCTTTTTCATTTCTTTTTTAAATTAGGGGCCAAGTACCTTTTATTGCGAGCACCTGTCACATTATGTTCAGATATAAAACAACTACTTTTTCTTCTTAACAATTTTATTGGTCATTAGTAGTAGTAGTAATACTAGTAGTATAATCATTATTATGTTATTAATTACTAACCCTAATGATAATAATAACAACGACATTTTATTGTTGTATAAATACATATTTGTTTTCAGCATATACTATTATTATTATTATATATATTTTTTTTAATTATTATTTTAGTTTTTTTATCATTTATTAATAATAATATATTTTTTTATTAATATTTATATGGTTAATTTGCTTGTCATTAATATAATAATAATATTAACCATTATCATCATCATCATTATTACATAGTTATTATTATTATTAAAAAATTTATAATTTTTATCATGATCATTAATAATAATAATAATTGTATTATTATTATATATGATTGTTTTTTGTCATTGTCATAATAATAATAATAATTATTATTATTATTAATATTATTTTGATGTAATTATTTTATTTATTTTAAGCATAATTATTTATTATTATTATTATTATTATTATCATTCAAATTTGTATACTTTTTATCATTATCATTAATAATAATTGTTTTTTTTATTATTTATGGTTGATTTTTTTTGTCATTGTTATATTAATAATAATAATAATTTATTATTATCATTCTTGTTATAATGTTTAATAATACACATTTGTTTTTATCATTATCAATAGTAATTTTTATTAGTGTTGTTATTTTTACTTGTTTGTCATTAATATATGAATATTAATATTATTATTGTGTTTTCGGATCCCCCCTCCCCCCAGATTGTTGAACATGATGGTTTCTCTTTATTCTATTTTTATTTTTGCTACTGTTCTCTCCATTGTTCTCTCACGTGGAAAACTTTTAATACTGAATTTCCCAAATCTAGTTCTAATTACCAATCCACTGTTTTACATACAACCTGTATCTACGACATCTTTTTGAGTTGATGTCTATGGATATACAGTATCAAAGAGGGGGCAAACCTATCTGTATATCTTTGTTGTTGTTGGTTTGTATGGAGTGAGGGCACCTATGGTGGTGGATGGTGAGCATTTTGATATAATCCATTTTTAATTAAGCCCCAGAGACCCGGAAGTGACAGGAGGCTCTTCGGTGTCAGCGTTGAACATTATTCCAGAGAGAAATTAAGCAAGGCCGGTCTGATTGGTGGAAGCTTTTGGTATCTCTATCAGCTTTAGGCGCTAACCTTACCCCATTCCCATTCACAGTTACTGTACTCAATGTCCCGAACCTTTCCTCACCTCTGCACCCACCCAGAAGGTTATCCCACCCACCCAGGGGTTATCTATACGCCACAAGGCATTCTCTTTCTTGGACTTGAAGTGTGCGAGTATGTCTGTGTGTATGCATATGATTGTGTGTGTGCATGTGTACCTCTTGGTCTGTTAAAGTGGTGGTAGGTGGGGAAGGAGTTTGGCTCATTCTCACTTGTCAAGATGAAGCTCTTGATCCAGCATCTGAGGTCCCTGGGGGTCTCCGAGGAGAAGCTCACTAATGATCCCCCTCTTTCCCCGGCCCCGTGTTAGTATTGATTATTTACGCCTGCCTTACGCCCATAGGGACTGTGTTCCAACAGCACGGTGAGAGCGTCGGCCCCACAAGAGAAAGATGTGTCAAAAAAAGGTAGAAAGACGGGCCTTTGCATCATCAACAGAAAACAGCGCCTTTTTAGAGATGCCTCCATTTTGAGATAATCAAAGCCTGGCCTGCCGTCACTCAATGGATACCAGCCAGCATTTTTGACGGGAATGGAATGTTTCACAGTGCTCCGTCAAAGTGTCTTCATGGCACGATGATTGGAGTGACAATCAAACTGCATCTACAGAATGTGTTTCCCGAGCAACGATCATAACATGTGTGACAACGTATTGAAAAACAGTCTGGAAAATCTGTTGGATTGCCGTTCGGTTAACGTATCTCTTTCCTCTTTCGCCTGTGCGTAGGTGCTGGTCTACTCCGAGGGGCTTCACGGCAAATGGATGTTCAGCGAGATCCGAGCGGTGTTCACCAGACGCTTCCTGCTTCAGAACACAGCGCTGGAGATCTTCATGGCCAACAGAAGTAAAACTGCCTCATGTTTACCGCTTTATGAATGCAAAAACAATGGCCACTCAAAGTATCTAGTTAGTTAATAACAAAGAAGTCCTGCACTCAAAGGTACACAAAGTTACCTTTTCACAAGAGTAGACTTTTGTACCTTATTTAATCCCAAAAGATGCATATTAGTGCCTTAAAGGTGCATATTAATACCAAAATGTTACATATTAGTACCTTTTGAAAAGGTACCGCCCCAGTGACAGATTTTATGCATGTTTTCCTGAAAATCTGCTTCAAAATGGATGACCAGATATTACTGGTAACACTTTACAATAAGGTTCAGTTTGTTAAGATTAGCTTATGCATTATTAGGTGTCATCAACTAATAATGAACAGTTTTTGACTGCATTTATTAATCTGGCTTCATGTTAGTTTAATTCAATTTGTGATTGTTCATAATGCATTGATGTTAATTCATACTTAACATACACTACAGTTAAAAAAGTTGGGGTCATAACATCTTTTGGTAACAGTTTAGTATAGGGACCACTTTTCACTATTAACTAGTTGCTTATTAGCATGCCTATAACATATTGGCTGTTTATTAGGACTTATAAAGCACATAATTTGCATTACCATATTCTATCTACATCCCTAATCCTACCCAATACCTAAACTTAACAACTACCTTACTAACTATTAATAATAAGCAGCAAATTAGGAGTTTAATGAGGCAAAGGTCATAGTTAATGGTTTGGAGAACTGGACCTTAAAATAAAATGTGACCCATCTTTTTTAAGGAAATTAAAACTTTTATTCAGCATGGATGCATCAAATTGATCAAAAATGGCTCTAAAGACATTTATAATTTTACAAAAGTTTATTTTCAAATAAATGCTGTTCTTTTGAACTTTCTATAAAACATATCATATTGTCCACACATATATTAAGCATAAAAACTTTTTTTTTTTTCAACATTAATAACAGAAAAAAAAAGTTTCTTGAGCAGCAAATCAGCATATTAGAATGACTTCTGAAGGATCATTGGAGTAATAATGCTGAAAATTCAGCTTTGCAATCACAGAAATAAATAACATTTTAAAATATATTAAAAATAGAAAACAATTATTTTAAACTGTAATAATGCTTCGCGATATTTACTGTATTTTAATTGGATAAATGCAGACTTGGGTGACCATTAAATGCTTCTTTCAACAACATACCAAAAATGACTTCTTTTGAACAGTAGTGTATAACTTCCTATTTTAGTAGGCCATATGCAGAAATTAAGTAAAAACATTATTGGAAGTATTGTTCATTATTAGTTCACGATACTTAATGCATTAACTAATCATATCTAATCTTTTATGGATAACTCCCCCAACCCCATGTATATTTATGTCAAAGAAGAGTATGAATCTGAGTGTGAAATTTGATATCAAATCAATCAAAATTCAACTAAAAAGCTTTTAAGCCATTTTCCCCAGATTCAGTGCTGGCAGAGATTTATAGTTCTTTACTGTGCAAAATACACTCTTAAAAATAAAGGTTCCAAAAGGGTGTTTTTGCAGTGATGCCATAGAAGAACCATTTTGGTTCCCAAAAGAACCTTTCAGTGAACAGCTCCTAAAAGAACCATTTTGAAGAACTTTTTAAAAATCTAAAGAACCTTTTTAGACTCTAAAGAACCTTTTCTGCATTTGAAAGGTTCCATGGATGTTCAAGGTTCTTCATAGAACCATTGGTGCCAATAAAGAACCTTTATTTTTAAGACTATAGTGTCTTCCCATTGGCCTTGGTAGATTAACATACTTCTGTGCTAACTTAGAGATTTGTTCTTTTCTTTATATAAGAATTGATGTTATTTCCATAAGAATGAGAATAGTGTGAGACTGAACGATCGCTAAGCAGCATTTGTTTACCTGTTCTGAAGTCTTTGTACTGTTTGTGGAAATGTTTACTCATATTTGGATGTACTGTACTGTAGGCCCTAGTTTAACATGTGACGTCATTCCCTCCCTCAGCGTCCATCATGTTTAACTTCCCCGATCAGCCCACAGTGAAGAAGGTGGTCTACAGTCTTCCTTGCGTTGGCGTCGGCACAAGTTACGGTCTTCCACAGGCCAGGCAAGTCTGTTTCTTGTTCCCTGGAACACCTGCACGTGGTTGCCATTCAAAATATTGTTCAAAACAATGTTTACTTCGTCTTTATTTTGTTTAAAACTTTAGCATGATGACCACATCAAATGTCAGAAACGATTGATCCTGAAAGTACTCCTTTGCTGTGCAACTGTTTGGAATATTTTGAGGTAGAGGTAGTTACTTGCGGCATGGGTGTTTTTGCATGTTTGTCCCTGACTGAACCTACCAAATGATCCCACATTCTGTTGGGGCTTTCAACTTAAGTCCATGCTAGTCATAATAAGTGCATTAACATGTAGAGATTGATTGTAAAGGACTAACTAAAAATATAGCAGCCCAATCTATCTATCTATCTATCTATCTATCTATCTATCTATCTATCTATCTATCTGTCTGTCTGTCTGTCTGTCTCTCTGTCTCTGTCTGTCTGTCTGTGTGTCTGTCTGTGTGTCTCTGTCTCTGTGTGTCTGTCTGTCTGTCTGTCTGTCTCTGTGTGTCTGTCTGTCTGTCTGTCTGTCTGTCTGTCTGTACGTACGTACGTACGTACAATAGATAGACCAATAAAAACAGGGCCTAAAATTAAAACTAGTCAAGCAAAAATTTGAGTAAAATGTGAGTAAAAATTTGCATTGGCAAATATATGAAAAAATGTGCTGAAAAACACAATATGGTTGGTTTATGTAATATGTAAAGTTAAATATTTAAAAGCAAAGGAAAAAAATATAAATATTAGCATTATAGTTGTAATATTGTTATATTAATTATTATTATTACTGTTATTATCATCATTATTATTATTATCATTATTATTTTTTATTATTAAATACATCACATTAGTATTTTAGTGATATTTCATATATATAGAATATGTATAATATATACAGTACAGTATATATATATATATATATATATATATTTGTAGTGATATATTATTTATTTAGATATTTTCAGCAAACTGCATGTACTATAATCCACTTCGACTCATGTCTGCAAAAATATTTGATGCTCTAGATATGTATATAGCTCTAACAGAAAATGTACAGTTTGTCCATTGCATCAATAAATAGTTAAAGGGGTCCTATTATGCTCTTTTACAAAGTCTTGATTTTGTTTTGGGGGTGTACTAGAACAGGCTCTCATACTAGGTTGTTCGAAAAACACATTATTTTTCACATATTTTACATTATTACAACAGCTCTCTCCTCAGTCTGGCATGAACGGCTCAAATAGTTCCTGTATAAAATGAAGGCCTGCCTTCTGAAATACGAAATGTGTTGTGATTGGTTAGCTGGGACAGTGTGTGTTGTGATTGGCAGCACTCGGCGCCTGGTCGGGAAATGTCATGCCCTTACCATAGCCGCCTGCGAGCTTCAGTGTAAATATTGCATCAAAATCAAATCAATTTGAGTGCGATTTAATCCCGGATGATTGTAACCGCTCTAAATTCGTCTGCCTTGGGAAAGCTAGTGTGTCTCCGACATAGTTATAACACTCGTTGCCTTCTCTAGTGCAGCTCAACCAGGTCTCGTCCCATTCGTCGATATTTGTGATATCACAAATCCCAGAAAGCGTTGGAGTCCAAACGAGTCGTTCGTTGTAGTTTTTGAAAAGTGATTTCTGTTAAATAAAATATCTCCTTTTGAAGTGGACTTTGAACTTTGTAACTTTGCAGATCTTTTTTATGCTCAAACAGCAACATTACAGACTAACTAAAGTTGAAAAAGTGAAAAAGCATAATAGGACCCCTTTAATTTAGCAGATATGATGCAGTAATGATGGCTGATTGTACATTTCAGTATGTCACACTACCCCAGCTAAATGTGAGTGCATATAATTTTGAAAATCTGTCAGCTGGTGCTTCATTATATTCATGAATGCATTTCTAGTATCATGGCTAATAAGAAGTACTTTTCTGTATTCTTTTGTTCTTAGTCAGAATAAGTGCAAGGAAGGTGCACATAATTATTTAAAAAAAAACACGTAAGAAGTACAAATAAAAGACAAGTCCTACACGTGGATGAGAATGCCTGAGAGAGGTCCGATTCAGGCGCTGCACCAGAAATCTCTGTTGTTCTCATATTTTTAGCATGTGTGCTGCGTATACTTCAAGAGCAAAGGCGCATTATGGTCATCTGCAAAGAATCTCTTTTGCTGGAACTGATGCATTCATTACACACCACAGTAAAGAGCGTGACAGCCTTGCGTGTGTGAGCTGGTGTACTCTTTTGTCTTTTTTTGGAAGCTAAATGATACAATGTCATATTTTGAGTTATAATCCATCTGCGGAACAAGCCAAGTCCACAATAATCAAAGTAAATGAAAGCAAATGTCGAGTTGGACTTGAGCCCTACTTATTGGTACAGTTCTGTGCTTTTTTTGCAGGCGGATTTCTTTGGCCACCCCTCGTCAGCTCTTCAAGTCGTCTAATATGACTCAGCGCTGGCAAAGACGGGAGATCTCCAACTTTGAGTACCTGATGTTTCTCAATACCATTGCAGGTCAGATCTTATTTGCTCGGCATTGCTAACCAGTTATTTAAATGAAAGCATTTTGGACTATTTGCAATCACGTTCAACACTCTTGATTTGATAGGGATGATCATTTTTTCCATTGATCAGTGTTTGTAGGTTGCCAGCAAAATTTTATTTTATTTTATTTAGTGCTGGGCAACGATTAATCGCGATTAATCGCATACAAAATAAAAGTTTTTGTGTACATAATATCTGTGTTTGTATTGTGTATATTTATTATGTATATATAAATGCACACACATGCATGTATATATTTAAGAAAATATGTTATGTTTATATATTAAATTTATTTATATATAATATAAATTATATGAATATAAATATATATATACAAAATATATACTGAATGTGTGTGTCTTTATATATACATAATAAATATACACAGTACACACACATATATATATTGACTAAACAATTTTATTTTGGATGCGATTAATCAATCGCGATTAATCGTTTGACAGCACT